TCTTTTTCGTATCTGGCACGAATTTACCTAATTCCAACAATATGTCCTAGGTAAATTCTGATTTAATTTTTTACTGTGCTTAGATCCCATCAATATCCTCATCTAATTTCGGATTCATGACATACAAGCATGCCACAGATGTTACAATGCGTATTTGCCAAATCTTTAAATAAGTCATTTTCAAGATCAAAGTATGGAACAATCAGCCAAAATTGATATAAATTGCTTAATAAAAATTTTGTTAGAAACCCCCCAAGTATCAAATAGAGACAGTTAAGCACTTCAGGGAGTCTAAATAAAGATTCATGTATATTAAGTTTAAAGTTTCTTCCTAAATCCGTGGATAACTCTCCATCATTTACTACATCGTTGAAAACAAAAAATTCTTTTATTACTATAAACTTCAAGTTAGTTATTAGATAGTCATTTAAATGTTTTATCATCCAGAATAAGTTGGAGCAATTATCAGCATTTCTTTTATGAATAAAGGTAACAAAAAACAAGGTTCGACATTAAAGGATGATAAACTATTTATAATCTTATTCTCACAAAAAATCGCTCAAATATTCACTACCGTATGAAACTTTTACAATTTACCTTATAAACTTTGTTATAAACACTTCTGCATATCTGACGGCGCGCGCACCCCTTTCTCCTCTGCAATGTGACTTCTCCTCTGTTTCTTTATTCAATTTTTATTCTTCATTATTATCTATGAAACTGAACGCTGCTATTATTTTTCTATCTTTTCAGGTCTAACTTTGGTTCCAAGCTTGAGCATTTGCTTTCTACGCGAGCTGAAATCATTGGTAGAATGCACCGCCCTCCTCCTGCGGAAGGCAATGGTATGGATCCCCTAACAGGAGAATTTCAAAAAAATGAATTTGATGCTCATGTTCCGCCGGCAAATATATCTGTGTGGCCAGATGAAAAAGCTGCCGCGTTTTGCGCCGTCTTACCGCCGATTGAGACGTTTATGCTGGTTCCAGACGAAATACGGCGCGAACAGTTTTTTGCGGTGAGATATTTAAGCAGAAGAATATTTTAACTGCTCTTTAAATTTTATTTATCTATTGCCGAATCAAATTTATGAATTGTTTTAGACTGCTCGTCAGGATGATCTCCTCATTGGCATCATCAGCGCTATCCAAGATTCTGGTCTCATAATAACTCTTTTATGTTATGATCAGGGTCCCCGACGAGACTTGGAGGGTCTTAAAATGACAGTAAGCTTAATTTAAGTGACTCATTGAATTTTTGTACCTTTAACTGTCTGTTTTTCATAAAATCATTTATTATTTTATCTAGGGTTTCTGTCCCGTTCGCCAGTTGCCCCGCTACGCT